GGCCTTTTTTATAAGCACAAGGAGCTGGGGTGGGTGGGGCAGCCTTGGGGGAGCGGGGTTTCAGGGGGAGGGCTGTAGGAGCAGGCAGGGGATGGGGTCTGGCAACAGTCCCCCTCTCACCCGCCCCCTGCTTACCAGTTCTGAGTCTGGGTCCAGCTCCCTGCTGCAGCAGGAGGGGACTGCCCAAATCATCGAAACTCTCCAAATCTTTTCGGAAGATTCAGAGAGCTTCGAATTGATTTAGACCTTTTTTTTTTATTGGTCCCCTGATTCAATCTGGATTTGGAGATTTGGCCACCAAATTGGGCCAAATCTCTGAATTGAATGGGCACCCGAAGCTTCACACAGCCCTGATGACTTCCTAAGCGTGATATGCGTGCTTCAAGTCTTTGAGATCAAATGTTCCCCTAGGTTCCAGGAGTATATAACAGCTTGCATTTTATGTTCAAAGTACTTGAAATGTGGGGTTGCGTTAATGTACTGAGATGCTGTGGAATTCAGTGGACTTGTATACTCTGGGCTAGGCTCCTTGTATGGTCTTCTGGCCCTATATGACCCCCATATGAACTGGGGGACAGAGCTTCCAAAAGGTGCAAACTTGGCTCCATCACTCTGACAGGAGCCAGGAAGGTTCAAAGACGAACAACCAGCACTTGGGTTGCTCACCCTTCTAGCCACACTGAGCAATGGATTCCTCAGTGCCTTACTCCCTACCATGCCTACCCTTCCCATGAATCGGCTCCACACCGCTGGTGCCTTGTGGTGTTGAGAACAAAGTAAAACCCACAGGTTTCAGATGCAGCTGATCAGTCCCAGCCTCACTGCCATACTTCCTATCTCCCTTCCAGTGGCTCCTTTCTTCAATGCAAGCCTTGATCCCAATACAGCAGCCATCTTTGGCCTCTGCCCAGCTTTGCAGGGCACCAGCTTCTTCTGGCATAGCAAAAGATGTACTGAGTACACTCATAATGCCTTTCTAGGGCACCCATTAGACCCTGATTCACATGTATTTTACTTCTCTCCGACATGGTCAAGAGGCATGGCAGTGGGTAGGACAGTTAGTCTATATACATCAGTGTGGAACTTGGGTAAGTGCTGTGCATTGGCCTGCTCCCTCTCCCAGAACAGGGCATGGATCAGGACCTGCCCCATGAGGAGCAGAATAGTATATAGAGCAGCACTTCAGCTGCTCTAACTTATCCTGTAACTATGTAAGCCCCAAGTTGCTCCAGAATGCAGGGAAAGTGAAGGTAGATGAGAGCTCTTCTTCTTCCCTCTCCTTTAGCAGGCACTAAACCTACCCCTTTATGTACCCCCGGCATCTCCTGGGCAGGATGTGGAGGCTTCTTTTGTGTAATGTGTCCCACTGTCCAGGGACCCTCTCATCACACCACAAGTGGCCAATGCAGTTCTCATGGGAATGGGTGCAGAATGAGCCAGTGAACTGACCAGGAACCCTGGCCCAGCATGCCACATGCCACCTTCTCACTGTGCCACAGACCACTGCCACATGAACACTGACACCAAGTGCATGAAAACATTCAGGGGATGAGGGCCCTTTTGGCACTGTTGCCCTGCAGTGTCAGTGTGGAAAGCTGGAGCTGATGGATGATGGGCTGCCTCTGGCTCACATGGGGGGATGTGATGGCCCATGGGGCTGCCTTGGCCTCACAGAGAAAAACGTGCTGACACCTGGGCTGACTCAGGCTCACAAAGGTGATATAGTGGCGCACAACCCCACCTCTGGCTCACACCCAGAGATGTGGTGCTGAGTTGGCCTACCAGTACTGCCTAGAAAGGAACATTTTGGTATGCGTGCCTTGCTGTGGCTTACACAAGGGGACATCATGGTGTGTAGACCCAGATGTGACTCACCGAGGCAGTGTGGCAAGGTAAAGCGTGCCTTGTTGTGGCTCACATCAGGGAACATAGTGGATTATGGGCTGGGCTCTGGATCAGTACAGGAACAGTGGGGTGTGGGTCTGGCTGTGGTTCAAAGAGGGATGTAGCAGCCTCTGAGCCCAGCTGTCTCTTGCCTAGAGAAGCAGTGCTACATTGGCCCAGCTCTGTCTCGAGGAGAGGCAATGGCATGTGTGGCTGGATCCAACTCGCACAGGGACCCATGGTTGCCAGTGGACCCAACTGTGACTTGCCTTGAGGGAGGTGGGAGCACATGGGCCTGGCCATGTCTCTCACAAGGTCTGCGATGTTATGCTACGACAGATCGCTCAGGGGGGAAGTGGACAGGCGGACTTGCCTCTGGCCCTTACAGGGAGATGTGGTGGCACAAGCAGTTGGCACCATGGGGCAAGGTGGTGCCTGGGCCTGATTTTTGTTTGCATTGAAGTGCATGGTAAGACGCAGCAGAGAGAGGAGGACAAGCAGTAAGGAGTGAGCAAAATTCGCCTTTATTTCCATAGTGAAGGAGAAGGGTGTCCCCTCAGGGTACAGTTCCCCCCAAAACCCTCCTGCTGGCCTACAGCTGTAGCCTGCCAGGGTTCCTGCTAGCCCCATGTCTGGCTCACTGTGGCAAACAAGCATGGATCCTGGGCAAGAGGCAGAAATTTGGTCTTGGGTGAGCCCAAGCTCCATCACACCTCTGCTTTGCTCCCTGTGTACTGGGCAGCCAGGAGAGCCGGGTTGCTCCTAGCAGGGCACCTGGGAGGCCTGAGCATCCTTCACTTCCACTGCAGCCATAGTGCAAGCACTGAGGGCTTGACCAAATTGGACAGAGTGAGAGACCTGGGAGTGGGGCCCATAATTACCAGGCTTGGGCTCACAAAGGCATGTATCCCAAGTGTCATATGGTGCCTTAGGTCCCTAGAGTCACAGCAGCAGCCCCACAATAAAGAGGCCAGGGCTTCCTGGAGAGTTGCTGCCACAGCAGGGTCTACAGTTAGCTATGTGGCTACATCTTTGTCTGGAGGCATTTTGACCACAACAGTGGGGATACACACGTGCCTAGCATTCACTACTGAGGAAAGCAGGGAGTAGCCTGCCAGGGAGGGAGCTGCACATGGGTCTCCACATTGATTAAGTCGGGCAGCAGAGCTGGTCACAAGATCACACGGAGTCCCTCTGGGCATCTCTGTGCTGCTTCCCTGGTGCTCTTGCCAAGAAGCATGCCCTGCCCACCCACTCCTGCCCTGCACGAGCCATTACCAGAAACAAGGAGGTGCAGCCGACCACCGGCAACGCACCAGAGATGGAGTGGAGATGGGGCATCTCCTGGGCAGCTTCACTACCTCATTTCCAGCTATGGCACATGTGGAACAGGAGCAGATAAGTGGAGCTTGTTTCTCGGCGGCAGCCTCAAGAGCACCAGAGGCGTAGTACAGACACGTGCCTGAGCTCCAGCTGCATACAACGGGCACAGGGCACAGGCAGTGCTCACATGGCATGGTGGGCTGCCCACCTGGAGAGTGGGGAAGCATTGTTCAACCAGTGAGTATTCACAGAAGCCAGCACTAGAGGTTTGCTGTCTAAACTGCCTCATAAATACAGATGCATATTCAGCTCCACACAGTCAGCACTGCCTACACAGGCAGGAGGAGGCAGAAGCTGCTGCACAAAGCTGCCCTGTGCTGCATGGAGCCCCCCAGGCAGGAAAACCCTGAGAAATCTGCTTTAAGGCAGGTCCTGTCCCACCCATTGCCACTCAGCACAGCACAAGACACTTGGGAGCACAGTAAAAACACCATCTAAGCGGGGCTGCCTGGACTTGAGAGCTGGATGGGCCCATCCTTTCTAGGCCCCCTCAAAATATCAAACACTAAAGGTGCAGCAGACAGAGAAGAACACAGAAAAGTGCTTACAAAAGAGAAAAAAACCCTAGAAAAGGTCCCTGCCACACCTCTCAGCCCAGAGCATCCCAGTAGGACCAGGGCAGCATCACACAGAAAGGAGGAGGGGCCGGGGCCGGGGCCAGCCAGGGGAGGGAGGCACACAGAGTTTCCAGGCTTGCCCCACCCTACACCTCTTTACACCAGCGCATAGTCGAACTGGCCCCTCTCCAGCCCCTCCTTGTGGTCGGTCCAGGAGGAGGCGGGCATGCGGCTGTAGGGGTCCAGCAGGATACGGAAGCAGCGCACCATCAGCATCACCAAAAAGACCAGAAGGAAGATGACAAAGGCAAAGACGGTTTTCTGCTCAGCATCCATGCCCATGGTGCTGGCTGGGTGCTCAACCAGGGAGGGGGATAGCAGTTCATAATCCATCGTCGGCACATCATTCATGGCAGTGGCGTAGCACACCCTCCACGCGAGAAGCCAGAAAAGGGCTGGTCACACCGCTGGCATCGTCCTGCCTCTGGTGCACACAAAACTATGCCTGGGGATGAGACCCAGCTGGATTCCTGCTGTGCCCACACCCCAAGAGCAATCACCTTACTGGACTATTCCATATCTACGAGCCCACGCTGTGAGTGATGCTAAACAGGACTGAGTGGTTTGATGCTCACTCCAGAGCCAGCCACGATCTCCTGAAAGGGAAAGAAAAGGGCATGAGGAAGGAGGCTTCCTTTTCAGAGCCCTGTTTCTCACCACCTAGCTATCATGGGCAGGTATACAGCACTCCAGCAGCTGGCTCAGCATGTTCCTCCAGAGTCCTTGCCAAACTGTACCTGCAAAGCCAGCCAACCCAGACCATCAGCCCCAAGAGAAACCTCCCCTAACTGTTCCCCATCACCAGACCAGTCCTTTGGAAGCAGCCTCACAAAAAGCACAGCAATTCCCACCCCCGCAAGAAAACCAGACGTTCAAAGCAGAATGCTGTTCTGAGGGTATTGAAAGTGTTTCCAAACTGGGGTGGGATTTAGCAAATAGTCTTGAAAAAAAAAAAGGAGGGATTTTATCTGTTTCATTTTGACATTTTTCTCAGTGAAATATTTCACAATAGCATTTCTTCGTTGCAATAGGTTATTTAGCACTTTAAAAAAATCTGAAAACGAAAAGGAACTGTTTTCTTTTGATTGACATTAAACTCTTCACAGCTTTGGAGCCTAATATTGAATGTTTCATTTGGGGTGACACAAACCAGACTGAAAAACGAACCAGAAAAATTTTTAATTTTGGATTGACTCAAGCCTTTGAAGGCTTCATTATTGACGATGATGATATTCTTTATTGTGAACCCTCAACTGAAATCCATTATATATGAAATGGCACAAGTGAGCCCCTTCCAAAGGACTCTACATTTGAATGTTAATCTGAATTATTCACCAGCCAGTCTAAACCAGCAGGCAGTGGTCCCAAACTCTTCCACTAGTCACTCTTCTGTACTGACAATCTTGGCCTGCTCTGTCACATGGAGCTGCTTCTGCTAATTGAAGGACTGACTTTTTATGTATAAGTGAAGGATGAAAAACAGCTGTTCGAAAATTTTCAAATTAAAGTGTTTTGTTGGAAGAGCTCTGTTGCAATGAGCTCTTTGGCAACAAAAACTTAATTTTGGCAAAAATGTTTGGTTTTCTTTCTTTCTTTTTTTTCTTTCAAAGTGAAGCTTGTCTCCAACCTCAGGGGTTGAACTAGTTTGGGGGGCTGGACCTCTGGGACCCCCTTCCAGCTCTACTTCTCTATGATTCTAAGGACATGGCATTGCTTGAAATATGTCATTTTAAAATTGTACTTTTTCCTCCATTCTGATTAACTTATCTCCTGTGAAAAATAGTGCAGAAACTGTTAGTTTCAAAGAGAAACTTTTTGGAAAAGTTGGAGTGATTTTGTACTCATGATGGTCCAGGAATTATATGAGAAGCAAGGATTTCTGTGGGTGGTATCTTTTACTGGACCAACTGCATAGTCGGGATAGGATCAGACAAGCTTTTGAATGCAGTATGTTCTTCTTCGGGTCCTTCATTAACCTGAAGAAGTATGTCCTGCATTCGAAAGCTTGTCTAACTCTATCCCAACTATGCAGTCGGTCCAGTAAAAGATATCACCCAAAGAAATCCTTGCTTCTTGCAAACTGTTTTGAAGTAATCCTTCCAAAAAGCAATACTAGGAATGGGCTGCGAAGAAAAAAATACTTTGCCACGTTTGCAAATTTCTCATGGGAAAACTAATGGGAAAGTTTCAAAAAGGGATATTTCATATGCAAACTTTCAGACAGAATCTCATCTCAGGAGCTTGTCCTGCAGCGTGTGCGAGAACCCGGATTTGTGGCACCCAGGATTCCTGGTGCTCTTAGTTTCACGATCAGTTCACCATGGTGCTTGGCTAATAGTCATCCAGTCCCATCAGCCAGCTCCTCTGGGAATAGGTCCCTGATGCCTGCCAGCCTTTTTCGGTAATGACCTGCTTTTTCCATGGTGCTGTCTAGCTCCTCTGATCCTGCAGTGTCCTGTCAAAGGAACTCCCAGCAAAGGGCATAGATAGCACCCATAGCTTTGCCCACCCCTCCCAGGGAACACCGTTGAACAGCTAACTTTTCTCTGACCCAGACGCTCTGCCTTTATACACGGAGCCTAAAGGGAAGGAGGGACCGTAGTAGGAAGGGGGCATCATACCTCACAGAAGTTGCATAGGGGAGTTGTCATC